GGAAAATAGGAAAGAAAGACAATCAAAGTCACTTGAGGAGGCCTGTGGCAAGAAAAAGAACTATTCAGAGCAGGGGACATTAGGCCAGGAAAGAACATGACCAGGAGAGCTACCACACAGCTGTTTCCTCCTCTGCCCCCTCTCCCAGTGCTTTGTCCTTTAGCTGACTCTGGCTCTGTCTGCTTAGTAGGCTTCCTGCTCTTTGTAGACTTAAACAAATTCTTTATTATTTGCTTATACGCTTTTGGCTGTTTGCTTTGCAAAATGCCTTTTAATATCCCCACATTTCTATCTCATATTTACCTGCCATTAATTATAATCCTCTTCATAAGATGAGATCTTCCCTTCTGGTACAGAGACATATTCAGATTTTCCAGAATTCTGCCTTTACCTATACCTTTTATTTTGCAATCCTACTCTTTGGGTTGCTTTTTTTTTTTTTTCCTTTTTTCCCCCCCCCCTCCTAAGGGTAGTCATTTATTACTCATTTTATGGGATGTTTAAGTAGCCCCCATGCTGAGCTGCAACACTTTAATTTCCTCACTTTTCACCTTAACATCTTTTTTACTAGCTTCCTCATTTTTAAGCCTCCAATTTAGTGCACAATTTAGCATCGGTATACTGGTTCTCAGTACAATTCATCCTCTGAGGACACTTCCATTATACTAATACTTAAGCACTTCTGCATTAATGTCACTTTTGTGTGACTGCATTGCAAGGCAGAGATACAGAGCCCTGCTCTGTGTCAGCCATGGGGCTCATGGGGGTACAGCAGCACACACTGAACACTAAATTTGCCCTGATTTTAAAGGAGTCAATGGGAGCCCTGCCCCGAAACCAACATGTCCAGATAAGCAGTTTTACACACAGTGGATTTTGTGTGCAGAAAACTTGGCCATGAGCAGGTGCTGTAAGGGTGGTGGTGGTGGTGTTGAAGTTGAGCTGTTTTGCTTGAGGGTTTTTTTCAGTTCCACCGTTACTCATCTGTGTTCTGATCATTTCGCCTTTGCACGGGAATAAATGCACAAGAGCTCTTAAGAAAACAAAACCTGATACCATTTTTTAAGCTCCAAGGTAAGATAAGACGAATGGGGAAATTGGGAAAGGCTTTGCAACCACCTCTCTAATGAAGAATACAGTCACTTCAAGAGACTGTGGGAAAGAAAAGAACATCACACAAGAATTCAGGGATATTGGTGTCTTTTACTGAGGGTTGACCACACGGTGAATGTGAGCAAAACATCCCTTGACAGAAAACAATATTTGGTGTCTTCCAGAGAAAATGTTGATTTCCTCAAAACCTGAATTTGTGATGGTTATTTTCAAAAACTTTTTAGTCATTTGTACCTATGTGCTCTCTTTAGGGGCAAGGCTTTTCTTTGTGGGATTTTATGCAGTGCCTCTTATGAGATGACATTAATCTTTGTTCAAATGCCTGGACCTTATTCTAGTTCCATGTTTATAGTAACCCCCTGTTTTGATTATATGGCTGCATCTCTTACTTTTGCTTTCAAATGTGGAGGATAAGTCACCTGAGCACAAAATATAAACAAAGAAAATGATGTTTGTTCTTCAGACCATGGTGTCACCCAGTAAAGCTGGTTACTTTACTTTCGGAAGCCAAGACCAGTGGAAAGTTCAGATATGCATTTATCACAACAATGGAAAACACAAATTGGCTTCATTTCTTTTTCCTTTGTATGAAGTCATTACCAAACATATTGGCTTGGAACCCTAGGGATTTGGAAGCAGTCAGATTTAGAACAGGAATAAAAATACTAGGATTTTTTAGCAATAAAAGACTGAACTTGATATTACAAAGGAAAGGAAAAAAAAAGTGAGAAAGCCAAAAGCAGTGATAGAAATGAGACTGATGACTTTGTAATTGGAAATAATACAGTAAGGAAATTAACAGACTTGGGAAATGTTTTAGACTCACAGAGAACATTAAAAGTTGATTATTTCACGTATGAAAAGGGAAAGACCGAGGCTGTAAGGACTATAAATTCACATTTCCTTTAGTAGGAAAAGGGTTAAAATACAAGTGAGAATGCAGGAGAAGGAAAACAGGGAAAATTACTACTTTTATCTAGCCTTTTCTTAATTCCACTACTGAACAGCTCTGAAACATCTTATAAAGCTCATTGTGTGGAGAAACCATATTTTCACTTCTGTTTGTGTCTGAGATGCCATTAACTGTGAGTTGGCCACTGTATCCAAAGGCTTTGGCGCAAGCCTCAGTGGCAGAGAAGGCATGTGGGACGGGGCAATGCAGAGCAGTGGGAATGGCAGTCTCCCCACCCTCCTTGCCACCAGTATCAGCTGCCCCAGCTCGCTGCCAGCACAGAAAGGAGAGCCTTCAGCCTGGCTCTGCCATCCATCCCTGACTGCCCCTTGCTTCTTGAGCAGTTGCTGCTTTTCCTTCTGCATGTTGATGAGCGGTTTGGCTTCTGTAAGAGGCAAAAGGTAATATTCCAGAAGAGTTGTGCTGCAATATCCTTCCCTGCTCAAAATATTCAACAGGAAGCCAGAAATGTTAAGCCATTCCTATCCAATAATCTCCTTAAAAAGACATCCTGGATCCAGTTGCTTTATGATGCTTCTGGTAATGCACATCAATAGATAGAGATAGAGTTATGTTCCAAACCCTATCCAAAATGGTCCATAATCAATTTTTTTACCTCATAGGAGATTCAAAATTCAATTGTCTGGAAGCCTAGGCAAGAGAAAGCTATGTTTAAACATCATCCCCTGCATGCCTGCAGAGTATAATACTTTTTAAAAGCTCATTTGACATATAGAAAAACATTTCACTATCCATAAACACAGTAGCTCTGTGTATAAAAGAGTGGGTAAATTAAACTAGCTGAATGAAAAAAAAGAGCTGAACTATGGGAGCAAAAATCAGCTGAGTTAAAATGAGCAAAAGTTGAAGCTCTTTGTATCAAATATAAAGAGTGAGACAGGAGAAATATTCTTCTGAAATATTAATTTTCTGAAAACACACTTGAAGTATATATAAAAATCCCAGTTTTTTACTTTTATCAGGTCACAACTTAGTCCCTGGATAGGCACATTTTGACCCAATAGCTCTCATTCTGGGATCAAGGCTTAAATGACCTATTTGGATCTTAGCTAGAGCAGCTGCTCTGGGGAGACACAGACTCTCTGCAGCATCTGTCTTCCTTAATGGAAAGCAACTTCCTATTTGTTTACCTGCAAAAGGATGCAAGTGCCATTAGAAGAGTTTCCAGGACAGTTTCAGTGTCACGTCCTGAGACAGAAAATTTTCTTTGATGTTTTACATTGGCTTCAATCAGGAATTTTCAACCTACTTTAATTTTCCTGTATTCCTTGCACCAAACAATAACAGTAGGAAACCTGAAACATCCCCAGTGTTACTAGAGTTGTGAAAAAAGGAGATACCCAGCTTACTGAATTATTTCCAAATACTACTGTAGTTCTCTATGAATCCCTAGTATAAAGGGGAAAAAAGTGAAACCTAATCATTAAAAGAAAACCTGTTTGGATTGTTTGAAGTGTGAAGGTCTTGTGTTTTGTAGTTAGAAATTACACTTCTTTACATGTTTATAATCTGATGCAAGTTTTTTTTTTTTCTTTCCCTCTTGCTTTTAATTTGATGTGCCAGTCAAAGTTAACATTAGGAAAAACAGCAAATATAAACCTTGTAATTTATATGCATTCATGTTGTATAATAATAGCTCTCATCTTGGCAAAAGTTAGCAGATTGTTCTGGGATCTCAGGAGGAAATAGCATTCATTTTAGGTTTTAATGGAGCTTTAGGGTTATAGTAACTCAAATTAAACTAAATCATCATGAATTATTTCTGAATCCCCTGTTATGTGCTCTCTTTTCTTCCCTTTGTTGGTTTGTGAACATGTGAGTTTCACACACTTGCAACTAAAACTTGTGCACTAAATAATATACAGCCCCTCAGTTTGAACTGGGACAGCAACACAACAGACCATTCCTGAAATGAGAGGAGCCCTGTCCCAGCAAAAATGGCACATGCAAACTAATGCCTGTTATTGTCTAGGATAATAATGATGTTATGGACACATAGAACTATGTCACCACAGCTACAAGTGTAAATCCTCACCCACAGGTACTTCCACCAGAACACTGCCAGTGTACTGGCATTATGTCTCATAAGGAGATGAGAAACTAGAATCAAGCATTGTCAGCATCAGGTAATTACTGCTATTTGGCCAAATGTAATGTAAAATTCCAGAAGTATTTTAGAATATATTCTCTGTAGTTGAAAGACCAAGACATTCAGATCTGTGATTAGAAAATTTCACATTATGTTTCTCTGTTTATCTAAAACCTGCTTCAGTCTGGAATGGGAATGCACAGATAGTCAAGCCAACTGGTGTGACAGTGCAAAAGTGCATACAACAGTATGAGAAGTTAGTTTTAGCATAAATTTCTGTGACATGAACCATTACCACCAAACATAAGTCTTATTTTCATGTTTTTCTCAGGAGGTTGGCATTCTTTCTAAGGTATCTTCCTGAATGATTTGCCTGTACTTGCCCCTGTACTCCTACAGCTGGGAGATATCCAGATTTACAGTACTTTTCAATGAGATTTGTCAGCTACTCTAATGAGACAGTAGATTAACTCTACAGCATTATAAAGAACCACAGAGCCTGATGATATGCCAGATGGCTTTGGGAACTACTTTTGATCCAGACAATTCATAATTTCTGTATCTTTTTGATACATTTGGTCCAGAACAAAATTTCATTGGACTTGAACCACTGAAATTCCTCTTTTCTTCTACAGCCCAATCAGTCAGAAAGATTAAATAAAATTTTTTTGCTATACATAATTAGCTATGGAAAAGCAATCAAAGAACAAAATACATGTAACCAGCAAGTTATTTATAGCTGTGGCTTTTCATCCACTTGGCATTAACTATGTGATGAACCAGGTAGAGATAAGAACTGTTGGCTTCCTACCAAAAATAAGATTTTCTGCACTCCACATACCTTCTCACACAGAGCATAGTCTCACCAAAAGCAGCATAGCTTCAGATGGAAGGAAAACCCAGGCACTTTGGAAAACCACCAGGGAAGCAAATGCCTCCATACCATGCCCAGCATTGGAAGTTCACAGACTACAATAAAAAATGTAGTTTTGACATCCTTTGGATTAATTTACTGATGTGAATTAATAATAATTATTATTAATGATTAATTATTAATTAATTATTAATTAATAATAATGCAACTTGACAAAAGGTGCTACTGCAGTGGCAGTGACATTCTTAACTCTCTATTTTCCTTATCTTAACCCTTCTACATAGCTATATCTTCTGCTGTCTAACAAAAGTAGGATTTACCTTGCAGGACATTGTATCTGATGCCATTTACCAGGAAAGAAAGAATGACACTATTCTGCAGGTGCAGGTGCACTGCATGAATTAACAATCATTGGCATCTAACAGAGACAAGGATACTAAACAAAAAAAAAACAACAAAAAAAACCAACATTTTGGCTCACCTTTATGATCCTGAAAGAAACTAGACCAATGTGATCCTAGACCTAAGAAGGGAAAATTAAAATGAGCTTTGGAAATAAAAAAGGTATATTCTGAATTTCTTCAGTTTTACTGACAAACCCTGGAGGTTAATAGCTGTAGATGTAAGATGCTGGAAAAAGGAATGTGCAAATCTGAGGGACATCTTGAAATAAGGAGGCACATGTAATGGAAACTGGTGTACCATCAGTTTTTGATATACCAGCACCCACTCATTACAGCTATTACATACACAGCCATTCTTCTCTCTTCCTTCCTTTACACTATTTCATTTCTCCTTTAAGTAATAATTCGTAATTCTTCCTTGTGCTTCAGTGTTGCAACAATGGCTCTCCTTTTCTCTCTGTTCTTTCTCCTTTTTCCTCACACACTGACAAAGGCTTCTTCTGGGTCTCTTTCCCTACATATTTTCTAATTCCACCCATTTTCCTTTCTACAAAGTTTAATCCTTTCACAAAAGATTTAATTACCTAATCCAAGCATGTGAAAGGATGTTCCCACAAGTCAAGGTAGTAAAATGCAAGAGCTGGCCCCATCATGTTTATTTTACATGCAGAGGGGAGAAAGGGAACCTGTACAATGAGAAAAATACAAAAAGGAAAAAAATTAAAACAAACACTTGCAGTTATTTCAGCCCCAGTGGAAAACACACATTTATTGGGAAGAATTCTCAGCAGTAATGCTGGAAATCTAACATTTTCTAGTTCAATTACAACATCGGATCCTAGATATTGGTAAGAGGCTTGTTTCTCAGAACTTTGATACTGAATCAATACTGTGCTAACTTGTGATGCATTAAAACAGGGCAGGAGGTGTCCAAATGTTATTAATAGTTTCATAGCCTTCCCATCTATTCTGCCAGACATACTTAGTTATTGTCAAAATTACTGTTTTATTGAAATAAAACCAAGCACGTTATGGACTTACATGAAGTTGCACTTTGAAAGACAGCCTAACGAATTCCAGGGAGCCTGACTGCACACTCAGTGTTTTTTCCTTCTCTCTGCACCACAATCACAGAAATTCAAAGGCTTCACTTTACCTATGGCCTGTTTTTGAACAACAGGAATGATGGTGACCCCAAACACACCACCACCACGTTTTGAGCCTGGTGCAGGTTCAGTGACACTTAAGAACCAAGTGCTTGGCCAAGTCCCCAGATATGACAGGCAAGTACTTCCATATGGGATTAATCTTTTCCCACTCCCCAGGTCCACAGTGGAAGTCCATACATTCCATCTGTTGGAGTAGAAAGACTCCCTTTCTACTCAATGCAGAAAAGTAAACACTTGCAGAGTGCTTACAGTTCACCTGCTGTGCCTTAAAAGAGGGAAAACAGGAGTAAGAATTGCCTGTTTTTATCACAGACCTCCAAAGCCAAGCAGATGGAGATACGGGCACTATTGATTCCTGCATTTGGACAAACAACTCCCAGCCATGGTGTATAAAACTGAGTAATATGGATGGTCTCTTCAGGCTTGTGTCCTGGAGCTATTCCATTCCCCTTCATCCTTCGAGTAGCCCCATATGATGACTTTCATATTTTTGGGTTTTTTTTAATCAGTGTCTTAACTGCAACTTCATTGGACTGAATTTCCAGTCTGCTCTTACATTTAGACAGCTCACATAACTAATTAATTTCCCTCCCCACATCTTCTGATTGATGATTTCTAGTTTCACAGAAGGACCCTATTGTTATAAGTCTCTTGATGGCTAGGTAATTCAGGAAATCCCATCTCACATTTCTCCCTTTAAAAACTTGACCTATGTTTCCCTGTCTATTCACACAGCCATAGACTCTGTTAGGAGCCTCCAACACTATAAATTAGAGTTTACTGGGATGACTGAGAACTTTTCAGTTTATTTTTATGAAATGGATTATTCTCAGCTGGGACCTAGGTGTTGACCTCATTGATTTTTTTTTTCCCCAAATAGGCCACTAATGCAGCACTGGAATGCATCATATTTGACTTGACACAATCAAAGCTGCCAAACTTGCCTAGAACCACTTTTGTGTGTAGTTCTATTAGGCTGAAACTCCCTGATGCATGTGACAAAGTTTCTTTCCCTGCTGGTGAAACAAAAGGAGGAAAACTTCAGAATATTTGGCCAATCATAGGATTAGAGGAAGGAATTTTATAATCTAAAATACTCATCCAAGCAAAAAATATTGATTTTTAAGGAAGAAAGAGCTATATAACCTTCATATGGTTAAAAGAAAGCAGAACCATTTTTATCTTCTCCAAAGAATTACTAGTTGACTACCATTTCCTTCTTTAGGACTAGTGCTGATGAAATTGCATCTTTAAAATCTAACTGATTAGTGTTTGCAAAAATGACACTCCATTAAGAAATAAATTAATCATTCATCTAATTATTCATCTAATGGTCACAAAAAGCAGTGAGGTTTTTCTTCTCCTTCTTTCTTCCTTTCCTAATCCTTGGATTTTACCTATAGCCTGCGTGCAAGTAATGCACATTAGTCAATTAATAAGCTGTTAAATGACAACAGTTCCAGGCAATTTAATTACTGTTGGTAAAATAAGAAATGAGTTATTGCATGTCAGTAACTAATTTCAGCTCCTTTCTTTGGAACAAATCAACTTTGAATGCGATGGCTTATTTAGGAAAAAAAACCCAACAATTTCTTCCTAGCAAATGCAAACTACTGAGTCATTTTTTAAAAAAAAAATGTAAATGCCTTGTCAAATTCTTCTGCCCTTTGCTCCTAGCACCAGGCAAAGTTTATTTTAAAAACTAGCTTACTGTTTCTGCAAATAAATATGTTAAGAAATATAGTGTGAGCATAAATACAGAAAAAAATCCCATGCAACCCAGAATGCTCTTCCCTCCATTTCAGCCATTCTGCTTTTCTTTTCTGAAGTATAAAGAAATAACAATATGGACCATAATATCTAGCAGAACAATTTATAATCTTATATTTTAATAACTCCCTATGTCCCTAAGGACATATCCAAAACATATTAGTAAGTGTTGGTCTCAAAAGACAAGAGCATAGTTTACAACCTCTTCTGGAGGAAGAAGAGGAAGCATCTATTTAGGAAAATCTCATATTAATGTTGGTACTTCAAAGGAATTCAGCAGTACCCCAGTGGTTCCACCTCCCTTGTGTGGGTTCTGTGATATTTCAGGAGTGAGTTGACTCCACCACAACTCTATGACTAGAGATAGCTTTCTCAGAAAGTTTATTTCACTGTTCTGTGACATTTCTTTATAGGGAAGGGAGCTCCTTTTAATGTAAAAATCTCTGAGAAAATTTCATTTCCTAATCTTGCATGCATGTGGACTGCTGAGCAAATTACTAACAGACTCTTGAATGAGTGCCTAGAAGGAAAGCAAGGAAAATCACTGGAAACATTTTACTTTTTTTTTTTTTACCTACAGCTTATTTAACACCTTCTCACTGCTGGTACTTGGTGCTTGACTGAGGGATCCTCACCAAAAAAAAAGATAGTACAGATGAGATTTATGCAAGCATTAGTCAATGCAAAGATTGCACAAATAAGACAAGCAAATTTAAAAATGTGGCACCACCAGGCACCTTTGTTCTTGCAAAATCTTCCAAAAAATACTCTTTGTTAAAAGGAAGTTGAACCCATTTCTTGAACACTTAATAAGAGTTACATGATAATTAAACTGCAAGAGTTATAAAATCAAGTCAAGTAAAAAGAAACCAGTTTTATATTAAATGGTCAAAAATTGAGCTAGTCCAAATCTCTCAAACAAAACAGTTTTCACTTGAAAATCACCTGTGCGAGAGAGCTGCTTAAACACAGTTATAAATTCAAAGCACTAAACAATTAAAGCAAACAAAAATACGCCTTACACCCATACATTCCTGGAAATTTTAATATTTGCAATTTATTTTTTAATTTTTTTTTTCATCATATCAATAAGATGATATTTTCAATATCGTAGACCTCAGTGTGTCCAGAATGCTTACTGCATTCACCTTTATAGGCTAAAATCCAGTGTATATTAGATCAGCCAAACCACCTCTTTTGTCAGGCCTCAACTGCCACTAAATATTAGAAAAAGGATTAACTGTGAATCCCCATTTTCATCCTCCCCATCAAGTACTAGTTCCTCGCTGTATAATAATATGTATGAATCCTCTTATAGTGAAATTGAATTTGAATCCCAAATGGAGCAACACAGATCTGAGAACTAACACAGATCAAGATATCAGTGACTGGCTGCGTAAGAGCATCAGTCAGATTTCCCAAGTGGTCAGCAACAAGATCCTCACTTCTTCTCTGTGTCTTCTACTGGAAAGACACAACTGAAAGCTCTGTAAATATGCCCTTTTCTGCCTCTGGCCTCTGAAGAAGGGGAGAAGCAGAGGGGCAGACACTGATCTATTCGCTGTGGTGCCCAGTGACAGGACCCAAGGGAAGAGCCTAAGTTGTGCCAGGGGAGGTTTAGGTTGGATATTTGGAAAAGGTTCTTCCCCCAGAGGGTGGTTGGGCACTGGAACAGGCTCCCCAGGGAAATGGTCACAGCATCAGTCTGACAGAGCTCAGGAAGTGTTTGGACAACTCTCTAAGGAATATGGTGTGATTCTTGGGGTATCCTGTGCAGGGCTGGGAGTTGGACTCAATGTTCCTGATGGGTCCCTTCCAGCTCAGCATATTCTGTGATTCTGTGAAGCCCCAACATCTCCAGAAATTTCAGACACACCAGCTACACCAGGCTGGAAGAGAATCGCTACACTTTACTCAGACAAAAACCCTGAATACTATTATGAGAAGGTTAGACCTTTAATCCCCTGTTTCACTGTCCATTTATCAGGCTCTCAGTTTATCTTTTCTCAATTACATGCCTCTCTTCATATTTTTTTGCTGTAGCAACCACCTCTTGTAGACTACCTATGAAGCAATCCTTGTCCTGAAAATTTGATGGAACTGCTCCATTGAATAGCAAAACACATCTTAAACTCAAGAAATTTTATTTCTGCTTTTGTACTTATTTTATTTCTCTTTATTATTATGCTATCCTGTATAATTTCACTGCCCCTTTTTTATATTAAAATTAATACACAGAAAAAGATGCCACTCTAAAAATTAAAAATTAAGCACACAGAAAGAATTAAACATGTGCTTATGAGTAATTACTGTTTGTATATGGCAGATATCAACAGTAGTTTTGCTGCAGATAAAGGTCTAAGCAACCTTGCTAAAAAAACATATTAAAATTATGAGGCTGATGTAAAGACTCACCAGAACAGAGATTTCCTATAACTCAATAATGGTCTGCAGTATGAGAGTGCAAGCAGCTTAATAATTAGGAGCATTTCTGTGTACAGAATTTCTTCACTAGTAAAACAGTCTACACTTCCTCTCTGCAGTTCCTTGATAGTTCATTCCTTGATGTAGCAATCCACTTGCTGCTCTCTAAATACAGATACAAGACAGACTCCCTTGGACAAGAGTTATTGTATTTCTGTTCATGACTCTGTGGACATGAATATATATATTATATATATATATATAATATATATATTATATGAATATAATAGATGCACAGTGAAGCAAATAAATTTGATATGTGA